CCAAAGCCAGCATGTGAGAGTGTAGTCATAAAGCTTTGGCTTTGTTATAAATTCTCAAGCTGTCTTAGGAACAACTTGATCAATGAGTAACAATAACTTCATCGCTCTAACTTGAATTGTTGCGCGACTATTTCAATGAAATTTTGTTAATCAAAATAAAATTATCTGCTTGATCGATACGACTGTTGTTGTCATCGATATGACTGTTGTTATGATCAATATGAAGTCTGTTGTGATTGATATGACTGTTGTTATGATTGATATGACTGTTGTTATGAGTTATGATCGATATCACTTCTGTTGTGATCGATATGACTGTTATTATGATCGATATGACTGTTGTTGTAATCGATATGACCGTTGTTTTGATCGATATGACAGTGGTTATGACCGATATGACTGTTGTTATGAGTTATGATCGATATGACTTCTGTTGTGATCGACATGACTGTTGTTATGAGTTATGATCGATATGACTGTTGTTATCATCGATACGACTGTTGCTGTGATCGATTTTTATGTTTTCAGGATCGATATGACTGTATAACTATACGAAATTTTAAAAAGAAATTTTTGTTAAAAATGGTCATGTGTTTTAGTGATATCAGCTGCAATGGTGCCACACTGGAAGTTACTAGGAGGATTGAAAAAGCTTATTTTTTTTTGTTAAAAAAAGAATCCCCTGCCCTCCCCCCGCCCACCCCCACTTTTTCTTTGCAGTGACCCTAAAGTCTTTTTAACTGTAACTTTTTTTGGCATGTTGGTGGTGTAAGACTGGATGGTACCAAAGTTTACTTTTTTGAGAAGTTATAGAACTGCCTAATTCACATTTAAATTTAAAAAAAAAACAACAACAAATTCTTCTAAATCGGCTACCGGTGGTTTTTTTTTTTGTTGAAAATTTTATTGGTGTTGATATTTAACAAAGAAAAATTGATTTTTCCTGGGGATCTTTACGTCAGCCTCAATGTTGTCAAGTTTCTAGGTTGACTGGAGCAGGTCAATTATTTTTAGAGCATTTCTTTCTTTCTTTTTTTATGATTGATCGCAACACAACTGAATCACTTTTATAATATAGATTTAATTAGTGGCATCATCTCGATGACATTTACCCCCCCTTTTCCATCAATGATAACTCATCATCATTTGGGATCGGGTACCTTTTCGTGGCTGAGATTCACATGACATCGGCTGTTTTTTCTTGTATCGTCATTAGGTCACGAGAATAGACCCAACTCCAATGTAAGTGGGCCAAGTGGGTCCCGATCTGAACAAAACAATAAAAAACAACAACGGTTGAGTCAACACTTTGGATAGCGATGACGAACAAAATTCAACCCATCGAATATTCAATAACTAATTGTGTTCGTGTTGGGTTGTTGGGGGGGGGGGGGGGGGGAGGGGGTTGCATGCAGGACGGGGGGGAGGGGAAGGGGAGATGGGTACATTACAACACGTTGAGTCACTTTTTGCATTAAAAAGTCATCTGAGTTTGGATGTGGTTCAAAGATTAACTTTTGGGGGGGGGGGGGGGGGGGGGGGGGGGGGGGGGGGGTTGCATGCAGGACGGGGGTGAGAGGAAGGGGAGATTGGTACATTACAACACGTTGAGTCACTTTTTGCATTAAAAAGTCATCTGAGTTTAGATGTGGTTCAAAGATTAACTTTAACGTGTGTTAAAATCCTATTTATCTGACCCGTGACCAATGAGTGAAGCCATTCTCCAAGAGTCAGTGTGTTTAGTTTTGTGATACAGCCGCGGTCGAATCGGGGGGGGGGGAGGGGAGGGGGGGAAGGGGGGCACGCCTCCATACGCTGAGACCAGACTTGAACGACTCTTGAAGGTGTTGACCAGAGCAGGAGAGGTCTGGAGATGGACTCATGATGCCGGCCTGATAAGCTGTTGTCAGCGTGGATTGGAGGCAATAGCCCGATCACATCAGCTTGGAACTGGGTCAAACCACGTGGTGCCATCATTGATTAGGGGTATCGATGCCATATAAGGGCAAAGCTCTTATGGTATGTCGTTGTGTGTGGGTTGGATGTGGGAAGAGGGAAAGGGGGGTTTGAGATAAGGGGTGTATGCAGCGTCTCCGCACCCCACCCCCACCTTATATGAGATGATATGTCGAAACGCAGACGACGTGACAGAGATGACGTCAGGCCAAGGAGATAATAAAAATATTGATGAACTGGGTGTTAATGCCTCCTGTTGGTCATGAAGGAAGGTTTGGAAGGAAGGTCAGGATGGAAGGTCAGGAAGGAAGAGCTGGAAGGAAGGTCTGGAAGGAAGGTTGGGAAGGAAGGTTTGGAAGGAAGGTTTGAAAGGAAGGTCAGGAAGGCAGGTTAGGAAGGCAGGTCAGGAAGGCAGGTCAGGAAGGCAGGTCAGGAAGGCAGGTCAGGAAGGCAGGTCAGGAAGGCAGGTCAGGAAGGGAGGTCAGGAAGGCAGGCCAGGAAAGAAGACCAGGAAGAAAGGTCAGGAAGGCTGGTCAGGAAAGAAGGTCAGGAAGGAAGGTCAGGAAGGAAGCTCAGGAAGGAAGGTCAGGACGGAAGGTCAGGGAGGCAGGTCATGAAGGAGTTCAAGAAGGCAGGTGAGGAAGGCAGGTCCCTAAGGCAGGTCAGAAAGACATGAATGAGCTGTACAAATATGGTATCATTCATTGACCAGACGTGTGGGAATACAATCACCTACAAAACTTTGATACCAACTATAATGTTGCCGACAAGTATTGTTGCAATGTAGTATTTCTTAGTATTCTCCGGGGTCTTTTGCGGTTACAAGTATCACCAGGACTTGTTCAAAAAGTATCGTCAGCTCAGCCGAAAGTA